CAGATTTGGAGGAATTAGAACAAGAAAACCAACCAGAGCCCACCATCTTCTTTTAATTCTTTTAATCCACCAAAGTATGTTTCAGAAACTAATTGAGAAGGATCTTTTAGATTTACAAAAGAAGTGTAGTAATAGAGATGGGGGATGTAGAAATAAATCTAAATCTAATATTACCAAACGAGAAAGACTCACTCTCGACTATCTGAAATGGGATACTTCTGTGGTCATCAAGCAGTCTGATAAGGGAGGTAATATTGTCATCATGGATGCAGAACAATATAAAGCAGAGACACTGAGACAATTATCAGAATCGACCTATGTCAGGCTGCTTGGTGACCCTACCAACAGATTTAGTGCAACACTCACACAACTCGTAATCCATGGGGAGTCCATGGGCCTGTTTTCCAGAAATGAGAGAAATTATATTCTTAGGCATAATCCGGTCAGGCCTGTTTTTTTATCATCTCCCAAAGATCCATAAATCCCTGATAGATCCTCCAGGTCGACCCATCATATTTGGGATTGGATCTTTGGAAGAGGGCCTTTCGGAGTGGCTGGACTTTCAATTGAAACCCCTTATACAGGGTCTCAAAGGCTTCCTTCAAGATTCTAGGGATGATTTAAAAAAAAATAGAATGGATTGAATGGAGGGATTCCTAAAGGTGGCTGAGTATGGATGTGAGTTCCCTATACTCCTCTATACCACACAAGAATGGTCTATGTGCAGTTTCAGAATGTCATAGAACATTTTCTACATACCCAATTGACATGAGGGAATTTATATTGGATGGCCTTTCCTATGTATTAACTCAAAATTATTTTTGTTTGATGGAACCTTTTTATCCAAAGACATGGCACAACAATGGGGACCATATTCGCTCCTTCATACGCCAATGTTTATATGATCATGTGGGAGCTGTGCCATGCCTTTGGAGAGGACAATATTTTTCATTCCAATATAGTGTGGTATTGAAGGGATATCAATGATCTCCTATTTATTTGGAACGAGGGGGGTGGATGAATGCTCCTGGTTTTCCCATAGTCTGAATAATCCAGAGTGGAATCTGAGCTTTACAAACAACATCCAACAGGTTAAAATAGATTTTCTGGATCTCAGCTTGGAAGGGAAATGTTGCCAGTAAAATAATCATCACAGCAGGTTTCAGAAAACAAACAGCGGGCAATACCATCTTGTTGGCAGACAGTTGCCACCCATCCCACACATTTAATGCCATCCCATTAGGGGAATTCATTAGGCTACGTAGGAACTGCTCAACGCATGAAATCTTTCAATCGCAGGCAAGGGAGCTTACAAGAGGGTACACAAACTGACAAATTGAAAAAGGTTGGAAGGCAGCATTAGGGAGGGATTGGGATTCTCTCCTCAAATCTAAGGTTAAAGATAGGAGCATCCTGAGTGCATCACATTCCCTGAATAACAGTGAGGAGAAACTTCCATACTTTTGTACAGATTATGGCAATCAATTTAAAACCATTACTCAGATTGTAAGGAAACATCTTACAGTTTTACAGTCAGATCCCTTTTATAGAAAAATCTGCAATTCAAGGTTTCAGATCTCAGCAAGAAGAGATAGGCCACTTGAATCCATTCTATCCCCCAGCCCTTTTCTATCAAATGTACCCCGCAAAACGGAAATCTGGCTAACTTGCAAAGGCATGTTTAGGTGTAGACAGAAGAGATGGATTTACTGTATATTGGCTAATAAAGCTATACACTTTGCCTCCTCCGTTACCAACATACAATACGAGATTAGAGATTTCATCAGTTGTTCCACTGAAGGGATTATTTACCTTATTACCTGTAGAAATTGTAAGAAACTATATGTAGGGCAAACCAAATAAAAAAATGAAAGGCTGGGATAGCGGAGCATATTCACGATATCAAATATGACTCCGCAAAACAAACCACAGTATCAAGACACTTTAAATATTGTACGGGGACTAATCCATGTTCTCATTCCAGGGGATTCAAAAGTGCAGACTAGGTCCAAGAGGAGGTAATTTAGAATAATGTCTATTAAGGAACGAGATGGTGGATACTCACCCTACAGGCAAGACTCCCACATGGTTTAAATGTGGAATGGGATACCAATTATATTTTTAGACACTAATTAATATGGAGTTCTGTAGGTATTTTTACCATCTTATCCCTTTATTCAGCTAAAGACAAGTACTGTAATTTCTTTATATAGGTCCAAGATTCAATTAAGCATCTGGACAATTTTCTTTATTGATTAAAATATCTTAAATCCTAATTGATTAGCAAGCACTTCTAGTTTTCATATAAGTTATTAACCATGCAATTTAGAAATGAATCTATGGCTTGTATCTCTCCAAATATTGAATTGATTTGTAACTTACCTTTATACATTGGATACTGTAAACCTATGAATAATGTAACCAAATGAGTGCCACTGTATTATGGCTTGCATATCTATTTCTCCCTACCTCTTTCTTGTAACCTTATCCTCTGTGGATTTTGCCTTCCTTTTAACTGTTATGTTCACCATTTAGTTGATGTGTGTTTATTCATTGGTGTTTTTTTTGTGTGTGTTTTTTGTGTATTTTTGCAGTGCATAAGAGAATAACAGACAAGCTTGAGGTACCCCAACGGCAATCCTCAAGCCGAGCAGCACGCTTTACATTCAGGGGAATTGAGAAAGCATGCACAATTTTATAATTATAGAAACAGGAGTACGAATGGAGTTAAATCATAGGAACAAGAGACATGAGTCATAACGGTAAATAGAAGAAACTCCAGAGTGAGGCAGTCCCACTGTTATAATGGTGCATGTTTTGTCAAACTAGATGTGCCTGAACAGTTGATATGTAACACGATAAGTCATGCAGGGTGTGCTTGAGTGTACAATGTTGCTGGTACATGTAAAGAACTGAGTGTTGCAGGCTAGGTATGTGTGGGTGCGGTATAAGTAGCTAGACATTATGGTAGAGTTACAAGCTTGAGATACCACGGGTGACACCTCAGTGTATGCTTGCATGTGGCATTGTTTAGGCCCTGTTTCCCCCATATAGGTATGATAGTGGGTGCGTTGAGTGTTTATGTGCCCATCTGAGCTGGTGTATGTCATTGCCAGGTGTATGCCTTGTGCATGTTCCTGCAGTAGGTCAAGTCATATTGGCTACGAGTGAAATCATGAGTTGATAAGCTGCCCTTATGTGTACCTATCCTTATTCAAACATTTATGCTATAGCTTGTGGGCATGCACAATACTCAAGTCACCAAGTCACAGATAACCAATCTCACTGGAAGCGAAATCACGCGCAGGGTTGTAAATGCAGACAGGTATGCCAAAACCAGGGGGATAGTCCAGCTTGTGGGCGACCTCGCCAGCTCTCTGTGTGCTTGGGGTGCAAAGTCCCGAATCAGCCTTTGCCCTGGCTCGGTAACTGGCTTAGGGGATGGCGAGATAATAAGAGGCAGAGTTCGAGCAAGTCCCCCCCATAGCCCCGGGCTGTCGTGAAGGCCGGAATCTCTGAACCATGAATTTGGTCCCTCGTGTAGGAGGCCGAGTTCTTCCCTTGCAGGGGACAGCATTGGATCCCGATGGACAATTGCCATCCTCCGCGTCGGTGGCCCATTTGGGGTTTTATGCGGTATTCCCGAGTTCACCATCAGTTGATGAGTAGTATGCTCACCGATTTTAATTTAATTATACCTCGCTGGTAAGTTGTGGTGCTCAAAGTAGCTCCAAGTGATATCCATTCCCAAAAGGATGTGAAGTCACGGTTTCTAATTATTGTAATTTAGCCAGAAGAATGCTAATGGCAAAATCAATAAATGTTCCTATAAAACATTAAAGTACTGCATGTCCAAGATAGAACAGTGCTCAAATTACCTGTTTTTTTCCATTGAATAAACTATCATTTTCCTCTTTCACATTTAAGGCATTCACATAAACTATATTTCTTGTTTGTTTGTTTGTTTTTAGAGACATACAGAGCTTTTTGATATTTTAGTAAATTAGTACCAACATCAATATACAAAAAAAGTGTTATTCTTTTTCACTTTAAAATTCTTTAAATTATGTTTATTTGCCAACAACTAATTAAAATTAGGAAAAACACACCAAAAGCATATTCACCTCCTTCTTGTCCTTTTTGAAATACCTTAAATGCACCGTGCTATTATCATCCATTGGCAAGTACAGGACATGTATTACAAGATGGGCCTGAAATAAACAAATATTTTAAAAAATGTTTTAAACTTTAATATACCAGGTCTATAATAACAGCCAATTAGCCACACATCACAAAAAGCATATATTCCTAGAAATCCTACACACCAGTCATATTTTAGACATATTTCAAAAAGCTATTTCTCACGTAGTCGTTGCCAAAGCTGGTACTTGAGTTTGTTTTCCACTATTTTGTTCACAAATAAAGTCATGTAGTTTTTAATTTACTGCAGAATTTATGTAGAACTGCAACAAAAGAAAATAATAATATCTCACCCAGTTTCATCTGAAGATTCCAAAAATACTCCAGAGTTTCAGAGAAAAAAAAACAAAAAAACAACAGGGGGTGGGGCCTGACCAGCATGGCGACTGGACATGTTTCTGGGGAGCTCCCGAGACACTATACAAAATAGAAACTCAGTACCAATACCGCAACTATTTTTAAGCCTGACACTTACTCTTCGTACCACGACATGACAGAGAGATCAGGGACCAAGCCCGGCGATCCTCTCAAGCACTTTGGACCGGAGGAGGTGATCCCAGTCCCCACCCTGATGGCTGCCAACACCCAGCAGGGAATCGTGGTGTTGCACTATACGCCGAAGATATTGCCAGAGATGCCTGTAAAATGGAGGATGCAACAAGACACCTGGAGTCGCATGAAGAGACATCCACTCTTCACCACCGCCTGGAAGCCCCCATCGCTGCTTTCTGGGAAAAGCTGGAGAGACAGCTGACCCTACCTGCCCCACAGCCCGGAGAGGCTCCCTTTAAACTGACCAGATGCACCCCACGTCATCAGGCTACTGCCATCAAGTTCCCAGCGAGACGGAGAAGGCAAAGGCCACATCAGCGACGCATCAGAAACGCAGCCGCGAACACAGCAGAATTCCGATGAACCTGGCAGCAATACACCATCAGAAGACACAGGAGGGAGTTGAATCAAGAAGGAGAGATATGGGGGAAGCAACTGCAGAACCAGAACCCGTAGCAGACTTCATCGGCTCCGAAGAAGGAAGCACATACCATGTGGGGCTGTGAATTCCCTGTACAGGGGATAGGCTGACCGCCATGTTTGAGCTGCAGGTTATGCTCCTTCCCACTGTTTAAAACATGCTCCCTCTTGCTCATTAACAGACCTACACTATTTCCCTATGCCTATTACCATATGTTTATCCCTATACTATAAGTCTTTAAGCAAAAACTGCATTTGCATAAATGGCAGGTCGTTAAGGATGTCTCTAATATGTCCCAGTACAGTCTGGGGTAGTATACTAAGCAGTTGCCCAACTACACCCAAGTCTTCTCTGTACAATACGAAATACTTAATCTAAATCACATGCGTAGCACTATCACCATTGACGCTATATCTATGCTTATTCTGCATTAATACGCTTAAGTAAACTAATGTCCCTAACCTGTGTCCTACTCTCACGACACTCACTTATTATATCTAGCATACTACTCACTTACTGGCGTGCTTAGATCTTTATAATCAACTTTAAACTGCGGAGACCTACAAATAGACGTGTATGCATAGCTTGTTTATAATTATATCCAAACATGTGCCGCTACTTACATGCCATAAATGTGAAAAACTGTGTTCTAATCTTTCTTACGTACGCCGTTGTGGCATTGTCAAATGTTTTGTTACCTCCTGCACAACACAAAAAAAAACTCCACAACCACTATTATTAATAATACACTATAACTCAGTAGTAAACAAAGTGAGTTAAATCCAATTATTACTTTGGGGTCTATTTGGTATCAAAATGCACATTAGTCTATGAAAAGCCAAACTGTTTACACCCAGAAGAACCAGATTTCAGAAATCTTTTCTGGACGAACTATTGGTTGTGGTAGACCTGGAAAAGACACGTTATATATTAGGAGAGATACAAACTACTTATTATATATCAAAAACATTGATTAGGATTGACCTGGTGAAATATAAAAGCGTCAATAAAGTAGCAGCTTTTTCAATAAATGGGTGGCTCCTAAATTTGTGACCATATGATATTTTACTGGGTCATCTCACTTTTTTTATTTAGCACTATGCACTAATCACGGTTCACACTTTGGTAATTATGCTTTAGAGGGAAGAGGAAGGTAGATGGAGAATAGGATGCTAGTTGGCAATTAGAATCAAACACCCATGAAGGTGTAGCACTTGAGACTAGCAGCTTAACCAGATTGGTAACAATCAAGAGTATGGATAGACTTTTCACTATCATAGACTAACGGGTAGACCTAGAGACTGATGGACTGGGGTCAGCTGGATTGGTCACTGATGGAAGACAGAGTTTGATTGTTTGAATTTTTGGCAATATATAATATATTATTGACATTCACTATTCCAATAATCTTGGAGATTGCATTTTACCCTCCAATATTTAATCTTGAGTATTTGTCTGTCTGTAAATCAATCCGTACTACATTCTTTCAAGTGTGGGGTATAACTGTCCACCATCTTGATCTATATTGATAATCTTGACTTTTTGTCTCCAGTCTGTCATCCAATCTGGTATCATATATTCAGCCATCAATATTACCCTCTCTTATGGTAACTTTGAATCCTTCCCTTTCTTTCGAAGTTCACAGTCTTTTCTAATCCTACAAATGAGATATATAACTATGTACTCTATCTAAAGAAAGATTAGTCTGTTTCATGTACTTAACAAAGAAAGTATTATGAGATACACCTAACTCCGCATGGTTACCACTTTTTAACATTATGAATATTTTATATCCTTTAAGGTCTCTTTGACAAGGAGAAATAAAGCCTAATGAGCCATTGGATACTTTGTAGCACATATTCCTTTTGTTAAATGAGATCTATTCCCCACTAGTAGTCACAGCTACACTTTATATCCATTGAAGATGTATTGCTTCTAAATACCTTATAGAAATCTCCTGTTTTCTGGGGTTTCTAGTTTATTCTAATCTATGATATTTTACTATAGTGTGATTTATTGTCTGAATAAACGTGAAGAAGAGGAGGTTGGAAGCCTTGGAGAAATCAGAGATGGTAATAAGTTGGAAGATAAGCCCAGTGCCTTCACCCATTCTTACCTTCTTTTTCTGAATGAAGACATTCCTAGAGAGGAAACTCACAGTTGGTGGCCACAGGTTGTGTTGTCCTGTCTTACTCTTCCAATGAGCAATATGATAAGGCCATAGCTTTCCGGTTAGTCTGTGCACAGTACATCAAGGTCAAAGTCCATGTGTCACGGGGTGCAGCTGGGAGGCAACAGACACAGGTTATGGTAATAACTGGTGCAATATTTTTGAGCTGCCAGACATATAGATCCTTTGTGCTATTCACGACTCAAACTGTATTAGTTCGCTAAAATGCAAGGTCCACAAGCAAACCACGTGGCTTGTAGTTCTCTACAAATCCATTAGGTGCATTCTCTTCTGACTACGATGCACACCATAACACCCATGTCCAACTTGCTCAGAAAATTGCTGGTGAAGTGTGCATACACTATGTGAACCTTTTATAAAGTCCGGGTGATGTTCTGTGGCAAAGTATTAGAAAATGCACCAGCTGCAAAATGGCAAACACTAAAGCAGAGGTGAACGTGAGAATAGGCACACATTGGTGTAGACTATGGAAACGTGTCACACTATCAGATTTAACGACCTACCGACTACCATATGAGTACAGCAAAAAAACAAAAAACAAAACACCACAACTCAGTTTCACCGGAAAAACTCATCCCAAAAATAATAAATACATTTTTCAGTTCAGGTGGTCCAAAATTGCATTCTTATGGCATTTTGTTTCGGAAGAATTTTGTCCATGCAATAGTTTTGGGAAAACAATTTGGATGAACCAAAATGGTGCAAAAATATACCTCGGGACTGGAAAATGTAAACATTATGTATTGATTTTGCAGCACACTCACAGGCGCATTTTTCCGTCATGTTTCACGCATTAGTTGATCAATAGAGCGAAAAAAGGAGGAGCGATAAACTAAGAATCCTATACATTTAGATTTTTTTTTTTTGTCCCTACTTTTTTCCTGTTATTGGTCACTTCTCACGTGATATGTGAATAAAATAAACATTAGGTGGCTGTCCCCTAGCCATCGTCTTATTTTGGCACCATGAACAGAACTCCAAATCATAAAACAAATGGAATGTCTCGTTCATTGTAATATCTTATGTTATATATTTTCAAATTCCACCTATCAAAATGATTTCATATTTCTTTAACAGCAAATAAAAAACAAATACAAAATAGCCAAGAGATCTGCTGAGAGCAGTATATTATAAAGCACCGATACAGTAATGTAAAACAGTCTGCCGAAGGAAGCATCGTGACGATAAAGAATGAGTTCTTTGAGTCCGGAATCGGATGCAGGGTCCCCATGTGAATGCTGAATATGATGGGCTGCATGTGTATGAATTCCTGATAATTAGTAAATTCTCTATAAAAATACGGTGAGCACAGCGTTAGAGATAAGTAAAGAATCACGCATTTATCGATAGCAGATGTTAATTTAGCCATGTCCTGCACGTTATCTAGTATTCAATATGTTATGTCTAATGCTATGATTTAACTTTTGAAACATTTAAAGCAGTCATACCACTGTCGAGAGGTTTTCCTACTTGTCCTACGTTTTGTGTTGTTACTTAGAAAACATAACAGTTAAAAAAATTCTGGCAGCAAAGGTTTAAAAATACTTCCTTAGCGTTTACATTCATTTTGTGCCTTACACCAGGTGCAAGTTTCTTCTATTTTATTATTATTATTGCCATTTATATAGCGCCAACAGATTCCGTAGCGCTACAAACATTTTGCAGCATAGTTTCACTATTTCACTGTAATCTTCCTAGAAGTAAACAGAGACACAATAGAATAAATTATTCAACAAGGATTTGTGATTTCGGTTATATGGCGATTCGGAGTTTGAACGTCCTGCCAATCCAAAATTTGGAGGATTTGCGATTTCTTTGAAACTGCACGCACAAGTCTAAAAAAAAAAAAAAGTGCCGTGTGCTTGGGCAGTGAACGAAGACTTGTTTAGAGGTATCTGACACACATTGACAATACATATATTTATTTTTTACATTTTTTATTTCACGTAAAATAGACGGTGAATAGTAAGTAAATTTAAATGCAGGTTTTTATTTATGAATAGCGTGTTACAGTAGTGTTTGTACACAGCGTGAATTAGTGTAAATGCAGTCTTCTACTAGCAAATACACATCTGTTAGAAAATGTGTTTATTATATTATGTAGCAAAATTTGCACTAATGCAGACAATTTAAATCCTTGTGTCACTGGAATGTGATTGGCTGGAGCCAGTCCAATTATATTCGGATTATAGCAAGGCACCCCTCCCCAAAAACAAATATTCAGAGAAACACTCCAAGCACCACAACCACTACAACTCACAGCTGTGGTTATGATGCCAGAAGTGCATTACTCCATTATAATGAGTGAAACCATTTTAGAATGGTTTAACTTCGGATCTGCATCTGCAAGGTACCGCTCCATTTCTCTACTACTTCCTACAGAGAACTGGAAGCTCTTGCGTATAGGCTTCTGTTAGCTTTCATGAGCTAAGTCCCGCATCACCAAACGGGTAAGCCCTACATCATGTGTGTGTCTTCAAAATGGCTGCCTACCATGCCTGACATGGATGTTTTCCAAAACTTCATTTGTTTGAGCATATGAGGTGCCTTGTACCCGTAGCAGAGTGCATTTAATGATGAGGGACTCCAGGGAACAAAATCGGACAAGACCCTAAAATAGAGACTGTCCCACCGTAATCGGGACATTTGGGAGGCCTGCTTTAATTCTATACATTTGGTATCCATTTGCCAATACAATGTAGTAATGTCATGGTTAGACCTACAAAACAAGACTTTGACATAATTGACAGGATAGAGTCCCCTTAATTTGAGCCACTTGTGCCCAATTACGAGTTTCACCTTTGAAAACACACACTTGAGAGGCTCATTCTGCAAAAAGTCAGTAGATTATGAGTTATCAGTCCCAGATGATGCAAGATTGAAAATCATCTTAT